ATATCATTTTATTTTCTCTACACTTGTAAGGCTAATAAGGTACTTAATAGATTTGATACTAGTATTTTCCCTGCAAATTTTGCCTTTACCTGCTGTTCCTTCTTTAATAACTCTCCAGTGCTGCTGGTTTTATCTCCTCCCGCTACTATGTCAGTCTTTTTTCCAGTTCCAATCTTCTCTTGCTCCTTTTGATACCAGTTTATTTACATGATACCAGACTATCGATACCCGCACAAGGCACTGCACAAACCCCAAGAGAGACCCAGAAGGAAAAAAAGGCCATATACCTATAGTGGTCAGAAACGTGACAACCCCTTCTCTCCAAGTGACCTAACCAGGAGAACAAAGCTCATGCTATAGACACGGAAAGCTAACAGAAGAGTTTTATAAACTTAAACTGTTTAAAGTAGCTTGCCACAAAAAAAAAATACCTGTTTCTCTGCAGATTTAGCTGTAGAAGCAGAGGATCTCCTTGGAGACAGACAGAAATCATTGCATGCTCCAGAGCTGGCAGTCAGAAAACATGACAGAAGCAGCTCAGTAGAAGAAACAGAAGCTCTAGGAATGGAAATAACTCACCACAGAGGAGATTTGTGAATAGAATTCTAAAAGATATCTAATCTGGACTTTTTCCACACCACCTCCCAAAGCACCATAAAATACTATGCTGCCAATACTAAAATATTAAATGCTAAAATAGTGTGGCAAACTAATTATTGCACTAATCGGGAGGGCGCACTTGGGTAACTCTGGAGTACGGCCACCAGTCCTTCCAAGAGCTGTGCAGACAGCAAACCAGGGCTTGAGAACAAGGTCAGTGTACTGAACGATAGCACGTTATACCCTAACATGCTGTACCGCTATGTCGGGGATGTCTCAGTATCCCCAACAGCAAAATGAAGATAAAAAATGAAGACACCCCTGACACATGGAGTGTAGGCATGCAGACTAATTTGCTCATGTTTTTCCAACACTTTGAAAGCATCATCTGGCTAATAAAAGATACTGGAAATGGGTACTTAGATAGTTTTCTCCTCTAAGAACCATACAAAAGGGTGCAGCGCAGGAGCACAGAAATTCCAGGGTGGAAGTATTACATACCTCATAAAATCAAGGCATTTCAGAGGCAATAAACTGGAATTAATTTATTCTATTTATTTCAAAATAGATGAATGGGGGAAAATGTAGTCAGAACGGACAAAAAAAAAAGACATTTGCGGATGGATGTGAACTGTGAAATATAGGGCAGAAGGAAAGAATGAACTGTAATAAATCAAGAAGTTTTATAAAAAGCTATACAAATTGGCTCAGATGATTCCCATAGGTATATTAATTCAGGCCTTTTGAAGCATCAGTTTTTATCACAGAATCCTCAAAGCCAAGGTTGATATCGTTCCTTATAAACCCATTCTCATCCTGAGTATGTTTGATTATATTTAATTTAATCCTGATCAAGAAATAGTAACAAGCCACATGCTTATTTATAGTCTGGTAAGAAGTAGAGCAGGCAACTTACATGTCTGTATGAAACCAGCTTCACTGTGCGAAGAATGTATCCAAGTGGAGGGAGCATTGCTAATAGGTAATAGGTATATCGCTAATAGGTTTGTGAATGCTTTCTGTTGAAGTACCGGAAGAATTATTAAGAAATCCATTTATTGTATGGACAGAAGTTGGTTCCAACTCACTCCATCCAAGGGAAAAAGCATTTTTAAAGATAGGATTGGGGTACACTAAACCCTTCAAGGGGAATGTTAAAATGAGTTATGAATCAAAAGTTATGAATCCCAGGAAATTCTAGGAAGAGAAAGGTCTGAATGAAAAGTTGGGGACAGCTTGGATATATATGTCCTAATTCAGCATGCCCTTTGACGAAAGCTAAACCCCAGACAAGAGTTTCACTTCTGGATCTCAGCCACAAAACTACACCACCATCTGTCAGCTGGATAGCTGGAGCAAGGGGAGAAAAATCTCAGAGCTGACCTAAAGCATAGTTAAGATATAAGCATGTCCTTAATATAATGCTTCATGCCTGCCTCTAAATACAGTAACTGTGTTGTTAATATATGGACTTCCATATGTAGTTTCTTCCTTCATTTTTAACCTTCTCTCTATCTTGCAGGAATGGTTTCAAGGTATTTGGTAAAGACTAAGACAATTCCCTGGTATGGGCATGATATGACAGTCCTCAAGACCATCTTATTGCTCTATTTTACAGCGCCTGGTGTGACTTCCAATTTTTGCAAGCAGCTAGAAAAAAAAAAAAACTATGGGCATATCTCTACTAAGCTTCACAAACCAATTTTGGAGCTGGTAATAGGTGTTGATGTGGAAGAGAGGTCTTTCTGTGGTTAAATGAGGTGGAAGCTCATTAGCATTCAGCAAGGCAGTGGAGATGGTGCCTGCACGCTGAGGGATCACAGCGAGTTTGTAACAATTGAGAACTAGTGAAACCGCAGAGGGTGTAACTCTTTGTTTACAACTAGACTGTTTTAGTACTTGTATATAAGGAATTATCGCACTAATAATGAGTGGAACTTGTTCTTTCAGACAAAAGATGCACCTTTTATGGTATGCCTGACAGTCTTTCAGTTTTGCAGTCTTAAGCAAACTGACACATTTTTGCTCTTTGTTCACAGTTTCACCCTGGAGAAACCTCAAGATTTCCAATTACTTCTGACTAGTAGTCATTCTTTAAGCATTCCAGCCCTTCATTAAAAAGGAACCTAAATGACATTGCAGCAGGATAGTAAAGCTTTCTAGCAGTATGATTCCGTCACCTGTAGCTCCAGCTGTAACCTCTTCTTTCGGGCCTGCAGATGCATGGACAGCTTCCTTCAGCTCAAGAGGCGACAGCTCTGGTTTTGGCTCTTCGGGTCAAAGAACATCTGTGAGCTCCCCACAATAGCACTTACGCCATTAAAGTAATTTTCCTTTGGAAATGCTTATTTGGGTGTTTGGGGAATACTACAGCTGGTTTTTTACTTTTCCAGATTTCCATTGGGAATATAACCGGGCCTTCTTTTTGAATCAAATCTGCAATAAACCCTCCACCCCATTAGCCACGTGGGTGGGAGGTTTCCAAAGCTCCAGACCTCGTTACAATGTTCTCCATGCTGCAACCCAGAGAAGATGAAGAAGACAACAGAGAAAGCGAAGAGCTGAACCAAGCGGTATCCGAGGACGATTACCAAACCCTAGATAACCTCTTGTCCCAAGACAGGGACAAGAGGTTCATCAACCGCAGGAGCGGCTGGGGCGTACGCAGCACCCCACTGCGCCTGGCCGCCACCAAGGGCCACATCAAGAGCGTTAAGGTCCTCTTGGCCCACGGGGCAGAGGTGGGCAGCCTGGAAGACATGAAGGCTCAAACCCTGCTCTTCATGGCGGTCAGCAATGGCCACCAGGAATGTGTGAAGGTCCTCCTGGACGCGGGGGCCAATCCTGCCAGCAGCATCTACAACTGCTCTCCGCTGCTCATTGCCGCGAGGGACGGGGACGTGGACATCCTGTGGCAGCTCTTGGACCACGGCATAGAAACCAATATTCAAGCGAGGCTGCCGAGTGGGCTGCCAAGTTGGTGGCTTGTTCTGGTCCCCTCTACCTTGCGACCATGTACGGGCATCTGGAGTGCTTTAAGATGCTGTTGCTTTATGGTGCTGTTGCTTTATGGTCCAACTGTAACTGCACTGAGGAGAGAGTGATTGCCCAGATCAAGGAGCCCAAGACTCTGCTGGAAACCTGCCTGAGGCACGACTGCAGGAGCGAGTTCATTGAGCTGCTCATTGATTTGGGAGCCAACATGTACTTGCCCAACGTCATGGTAGACGAGACAGCATCCCACAGCCAGGGCCTGGAGCTGCTGCTGCAGGCGAGAGGTAATCTCCGTGCGAAGCCCCGGGGCTGGAAACCAGCACTAATTTTGCTCATTTGGGTGCAAGTTGCTTCAGATCCCCCTTCCCTTTACCTCTGCTTCCCAATAGCCTTACCCAGGCTTTCCTACAAGCTTTGACTCCCTTTGCAGCATCACTTGAGTGCATGGGTATCTCTAGCCCTCAACTCTTCAGTATTATCACAAAAAAAAAAAAAAAAAATCCAACTGACCTGGCTGTATGAATGTCAAGAAGATGGAAACTAATGAATCAGCTTATTGATGCCATAAACCAGTCATTTTACAAATAATACTACGCCTAGTGTACAACTGCTGATATTCCTGTAATATGGATAGAGCTTGTTTCTGGTTTGACTTCTAGACTCATTACGTTGATTCAGTCAGGCTTCCCAATTAAATAATCTCTCATTTCTAGCAACATATGGCCTGATCCTTCACAGTACCTCTAGTACAGTCCCCTGTATCCGAGCAAAGTCACCTGTTTTCCCTCTGACCTTCGTTAGGCAGGGCCGGCACAGCACTGGGATCCTAAAAGACGCTTTCCTCAGATGGCTGTGGTAGAGGCACACGCGATCTGGCCTAGAGGAGGCAGCAATGGGATAAACATCAAAAACTCAGCTGAGCATACTTTCTTGAAAGGAAAAATCTTAAAGGTGAACAGAGTTGTGTATTTTATTCCTTATGCAACTCAACTCATGTCTTGCAGATACCAGTAACAAACCTCTCACTGAATTCAGTGAAAATGGGATTGGTCTTTAATTAGTACAGGCGTTGTAGTTCATTTGCATTCTGGTAGCAACTCAAGGCCCTTACCAGGGATGAAACTTCACGTGTGCCAGGTGTTATAATAAACTATCTTTAGTCCCGGTCTTAACAAGTTCATACATATTAAGTTAGAGGTAAAACAGGCATAGTGGAAAGGACAAACGTTCAGGGTGTTAGAAACTTCATTAGCGCACACCTGTAGGAAGATTGCCACACTGCAATGAGGCGACTCCAGCACAAAGCCACCCTCTGAGCTTCATGGCACTCGGCTGAGATTCGGCACTCTGTGTCAGACACCGCTGCTGACATTAGAGACTTTGCAGTTACAACACCTATGTTCTCAGACTAGTGTCCAGACCTCCCAAGCGGCTCTTGCCCATATCCCTGCTCCACACTTTTGTAGTTCGCAGCTTCCCAACAGAGATACTCTTTACTCAAGTAATAAAGCACAAAATGGTCAAAAATAACCCCAAAACATACTGCAAAATGCTTCTTGCTCAGGCTCACCTTTCCTTTGGGGCTCTCTCTGTTTTGTTAGGCTGAGTGTTTTGCTGCTTGAGACTTCATCAGCAAGTTCTCTCAGCTTGGATCGCAAATACAGTCAAACCAGAGCACAGGAGAAACTGCCCTTTTTTCAGTTTTGTCTCTAGAACAGCTGCTGTACACAGGTAAATTGTCCCCTCCTCCTTCTTCCTCTGTCAAACAAAATTAAAAATTACACAAATTTCCCAAATACATCTCAAAGAACAAGAGAGGACAAATTGTATCTGAAGCCTGACTTCCAGGGAAACGGAAAAAGAATGATTCACATAAATCTGACAATCGGGCATTTGGATTCAGGAGAAATTCACAATTACATATTCAGACTTCCTCAAACCATACCTTCGCGGCTCCCTGAGGGAAGCGGGGGCCGGCGGGCGGCGGTCCCCCCTCAGCCCCCGGCTCC